CTCGCGGAAACACCGCGTGCGCGTGTAGCATCCATCAACTATGGGGGAAATTCAAATATGATCCCGGTGGAAAGAGGGGGAAGAGGAGGGGGGGAACGTGACGTATCGACGTCTTCGAAATATTAATATTTATGAGCCTCTCTTCCTGCAAAGAGAGAAGACGGCATACACCTGCGTCGCGTGTGCATGCTCGTCCACGCACGCAGCCTGCACTTTTCTTCGTTTCTTTCCTTTCGAGCTTTCGAACGCGTGTAACGAGTTTGTTCGTCCCTCACTTCCATCGTCTTCGCTCGAGAGAAACGAAGGATCCTCTTGAAAGGAGGAAAGGGAAAATTTCTCGCCGTGGATTAGTCGTAGTGTGAATGACACCTGTGCGCTTGACAGTGAACGTTTCCGCGTCAGTGAACGAAATACGTTGACTCCAGCGGTCGAGGAAATTGTGCGTCGGAAGCTTTGAATAGATTCCGTTCTGAATCGTGGAAAAATATTCTTAGATGTTGGTTCCTTCGTTCCCGATGAGAACAGGCAAATGAATCTTAATAGACAGAATAGTCGAGACTTGTAAAATGTAAAAATGGAAATTCAACAATTATTCAAATGATTCTCGAATATTAAGAAAAGAGTGTTTTTTTAATTAAATGTTCCAATTGTAAGAAAACAATTTCGAGCGATCTGTCTGCGATGATCGAGATCGTCGGGACGTTACTCGCAGAAAAAAAAGAAAAAGAAAACGAAGAAGCGGAACGTTTCAATTCAGATCGATTTCGTTAGAAGAATCGTAGATGTCGCTCGAATAGAAACTCAGACCGACGCTAGAGCGCGTTCCAATTAGCATTGAAATAACCTAACTGCCAATAATAATAATGTTGAAAATGTTCTCGGTGATATTACTCGATCGTTAAATATAAACGTCCTTACTCACTCTTGCACGCCAATCCCGCAGCACTTCCACTTCTTTTTTTTTTTTTTCCTCTCCCGGTTTTTCATACTCTGTGCAGTCATAATATTCTCTCGATGGAGGCCAGCCTCGATGAATGACAATCACGTTTATTTATTGCGCCGCGCAAAAAAGCTACAGCGCGAGCAACACAGAAGAGACATTATTGTGCGTAACGTAGATCGATGGATCTCGATTCGAACCACGTGCTGCCGTGTCTGTTACAAAATTTTCGCGACTTTTTATAACGCCATTTTTTTTTTTTTTTTTTTTTTTTGCTTTTTATTGTTTATACACATTGGCCAAAAGCATCGAAATATAAGAGAAAGCTCTAGTTCTATTAATTTCGTATATAGTGAAAATTATATTTACGGATTTATTTCAGTAGGAAGTGATTTTTGGCCCACCCTGTACACAACGAGGAGAGAAAGCTCGGAACTATAAGCACGTATACGAAATCGCGTGAAAACAAGTCCCTCGGTTTGGAATTGGTGAGCCGTGACGTAACGGGAGGGATTTAGGATTTAGGATCGTTCCGGTTTTCTGGAGAAGTGGCACCAAGTCCAACTGGCCACCGGTTTATCTGAAACGTTGATCGATACGAATTTATAGCAATCATAAATGCTGCCTCGCTGTGCGTAACTCTCGATGCTCGCAATATCTTTATCGCTTAGAGAAATTAATAGCCCTCCATCTCTCGCGTGTGTCTCTTTCACAGTTAGATAACCATTATTGGCCGATCAATTTCTTTCGTAGCGTGAAAAACGTTGCTGTTTAATGACGTTGGATCACGAAATGAGTCTGTTTGACGGACCAAGTCCATTTTAAAAGCGAGTAATTTGCAACAAATATTGGCAATGAAAAAAAAAAAAGAAAAGTAAAAACGATCATTTTAAGCTTGTAGAAAACAAGTTTGTTTCAGGCGAATTATACTGAGAAATGGCGTTTGTAACTCGTTGGATCATCATAGATCGCTTCGATTCAATTCGATGCGCGTCAAGAATTCATTTCCATCGTATTTAATAATTCGACTCCCGATCGGTGTTAAATTATAATTCTTCGTGTTAAATTCGCGGCAGAAAAAAAAAGGTAGTCTTGACTTTTAACGTGGCTCAAATGAAAACCCAATTCGAGTTGAGTCGCGGAAAGCTTTTTGATTTCAACGTAGATCGCGCGTTTTTCACTTCTCGGAAAAGTAAAAAAATCTTTCTCGAAACTTGGAGAAAATTAAAGACAATATTCCCTTGAAATTTAAATTCAGAACTTTATCGTCTACCATAAATGTGTCCAAATCAACTTTACACAGAATATTTAATATATATATATATAAAATTAAATTTAAAATATTCGACATAAATATCCTATTATTCACATTCTATAATTAATGTAAATAATATAATAATAATAAATGAAATAATTATATTAATTATATAATAAAAATTTAAGTACTTCAAATACAAAATTAAACGGAATTAATAAAGTAAACTTCAAAATCGAAAAAATTAAAAATAATAATCTAATTAGAAAAAAAGGCATTGGAAAATGGAAATATAACATTCAAATGGAATTTTCTTTTTCTGGATTTAATATTTTATTCATAGAGATTAATTCGTTTCAATTAAAAGTTAAACATAAATAAAGGAATTTACAGGATCAATTGTAATTGATGCTGAGAAAAGAACTGTTCGAATATTTTGTATTAAGATCAAATTATTGTCAAAAATTTTCGTTCAAGCAAAGTAGATTCCATCAAATTTTATTTATTTATTTTTTTTTTATTACGATTGTTCCGGGGACGACACATTTACAAATGTGACGACCAATTTAGAGAAAATTACAGAGGGAGGAGTTGCAGTTGCGTTATTATTAAGAAATATTATTTATACTTTATTATTTTAACAATCAAACCCGTCAACATCACGGATTTCAAACTTTCGTTTCTTCGTAACATTCTGCTGTCTGTCTAGACAGATAGAATGCAATTGTACAAATTTATTTATTTTAATTATCACTTAAAGTATTACGATTTATATGTAGAATACTCTGATGTTCGATTGTTCTGCTATAAATCGATTCCTCTACTATTAATATTTCCATTTATTTGTTCATATTAATATTTTTCAAAATCAAAATATATGTCAAGTATATATATATATATATATATATATATCTGTTCACAGTATAGTCTGATCACAAAGTAACCTAATATCGGTTCGAGTTGTTATTCCTCTGTTTCGAACTGAATTGCTCCTAATCGTCGTGTATAGAAATTGCATTCTAATGCTAGATGAATGATCAGCGAGTAGCATAAAGCCTCTTGGTTGATCCAGGTCAGTGACTATCGTTGTTACTCTCTGTAATTGGTACAGCTTGAACTGCGTATGAACTGTGTTACAGTGATGCCACAAATATACATTTGCAACGATCGGTAATTACTAATTTATCCTAACCTCGTAGTTATATATATATATTTGTTCGTAGAAAATTTCGACATTTCTGTAATCATACATCGATAGTTAAGTTAATCATTTCCTGCGAACGAAACGTCGACTCGATTAGTAGAAATTTATTTAGGGTCCGAGATAGTTTCGGAGAGTAATTCTTCGACGTAATTCTTCTGAATTGTCGGAAGAACTCGAAGAGTTCGAAAAACTTCGTAAGATTTCAGAAACGGTTCGAAACTGCAGGCTCTCGAAGCCTAGAATGTTGATTTCCACTTTACAAGAGGGATGGATTTCGTGTTCTTCCCGAATCTAAATTGCTTCCTTTTTTTCTTTTGTCGACTGAAGCTCTTTCTGTTTCGATTTTCAATTCTACAAATATTCTTCGTTCACTTTAATTTCTTTACTTTTCCTTTTCTTCTTTGAGTTTCGAGAGTCTCGAATCACGAAACAGACGTACGAAGCGTAATATAAATCCACGTACTTGTCTCTCGACGTTTGAGTTTTCAACTTCAAAGATTCGTCGTTCGATGTCTTTCGACGCGAGTAAACTCTTCGTTCGCGACAGTTCTCGCCTTGTAACCGATCCAACCGTCGTAATAATCGTTTCTGTAGCGCGATCGTTTCCTTCGGGTTACGTCATCTCGCGGCAGACGTAACCCAATTTAATTATCAATGATGCCACTACGACAGCTGCCTCCAGTCATGACACCGAGAGATTACAGTACGATGTTTGCGATCTTCTTCAAACCGTGCGATCGTAAATACCGTCATAAACTGTGCCGATAATAACGATCGTCTCGCTGGGACGGTAGCTATCCTTCCTTCGCGTTTCGCAACCTCGTCTTTGTTAAAACATAAAACGACCCGTGCGACACGTTTCTCGTCAGTTGAACAATGATGAATAGCAGTTTGCGTTACAAAAGACGACGTGTTGCCTGTCGAATCGCTCGAGCCAAATCATCGGCCCGATAACAGTTACACAGAATGCTTTCTGCGCCAATGAAATTGCGCGAAACTTATCACTCGAATTGTTATTCCGTTTGTTCGTAATCGTTGCAGTCTGTAGTTATTTCATTCGAATTATGTAGAGCATGTCGAGTGAGGAGCAACGTCGTCGATTGTTCGATCAAAACCATCGCTCTAAATATCTCTCTATTCGTAGGAACGAAATTCTTGAGATTTTTCAGAGGTTTTATTCTATCGTTGTTGCAATTCCAAATCGTTAAACCGTTTTCTTTTTAATTAGAACAAACTCGTTACGCTCGTCGCTCGAAATATTTGCAAGTTCCGCCACGTTTTCATCGTTGTTAATGTTAATTCAATTTTTTCGGATGATATACCCTCTCAAACTTGTCTTTCGTAAATTTGTTGGATGACATTTATACAGTGCTCCTCTCTTCTCGGCACGTCTTTTTAGAATTTCTCTTTCGGTAAATTGAGAGCGAAGGGGAAAGAAACGTAGATGATCAACTCCTGGAGTTTGCCTTGAGAATAAATATTCGCAGGGCAGAACTTTCAGAGGACTCAGCGTTAACACTGAATTAATATTGTCGAACTTATCCAACACCATCTCGATCTTTCGACTCGCGCGTGTTTCCCTTTCACAGTTGGTCCCGATATCCGTTTCTCGCGTACAGGATGAAAAGAGAACTTTGTCCGTGGCTATCATAGATGAATTACAAACTTTCGATTTGATGGAAATACATGTAAAATTTTTTTTTTCTTGCATTGTGTTCTACTTATCACGAAGCTAAAACTTTTCCAATGAACTATAGATCACAATCTAATAGTTGTCTTGAAAAGGATGAAAAGAGACGTTTGTCCGTGGCTATCATAGATGAATTACAAACTTTCGATTTGATGGAAATACATGTAAAAAAATTTTTTGTGTTCTACTTATCACGAAAGTAAAACTTTCCCAAGAAACTATAGATCGCAATCTAATAGTTCTCTTGAAAAATGGCAAGAAGGTTTCTCAATCATTTAACACTGCGAACAGATGGGTTCTAACAGCGACTTTATGATTTTAGACACGTGTCTATATTATTGTGTTTGTATTATAACGTTTATATTTCGAATAATTAACAGTTTTATCGTTTGATTATTTAGACTCGTACTGATGTTTACAACTGTAATCAATGAAATGTTAACCGTTAAAATTAAATGTAACCATAAAATCGCTGTTAGGACTTTTTCCGCATTTTTCGAGAGAAATTACTGTTAGCTTTCTTGGGAAGTTTTACGCTCGTGATGAGTAGGATACAATGGAAGAAAAAAAGGAAAAAAATATTTGATCTTTAAATTCGTCTATGATAGCCACGGGCAAACTTTTCGTTCCACCCTGTACGTACGCGTGGATTTTTTCGCGCGTCTTTTAGGCTAAACTAGGCTAAAGAGAGATTAAACTTAATTCCACGTTGCAATTCGCATGTAACTTAGTCGCTAAGACTAAGAATCCTCGGAGCGTTGCGATTCAGTTCGCTTTGGTAATTCTGCCATTGAAGAGAGAGAGAAGTTGGTTCGTTCGACGGAAGTGTCACGGGAGCACGGTTTTCTCTCACAATCAGACAAACGGATCGGCTCCAACGACAAGCGATCGATTATTTTCACAGAGTCGTTCCACTTTGCCTGGGATTTAAACGGAAGGATGTGCGCGTGTGGCCAGAGACTTTCTTCCAGCGAATCGAGATCAGCCCGGTGTGTGATTGGCGAGTGAGACAGAATGCCAGTGTGATGGATCTGAACGTGTGCTCGCGGCGTGTCCACGACGGCTACGCGACCATAAGGTCGCGAGGTCGCAGCAGACCTCGAGCCGTCTACAGATCCGACTCGGAGGAGTTTCTGAAGGAGGCCGGCGGCCCGTACGCTCTCCCCCAACTGTCCAACTTCCCCGTGGTGGTCGCGAGCAACAACGACCTGCAGCAGGTGCCGAGATGGAGCGACCTTGGCAGGGATTGCCTGCTGATCGAGAACTACGGGACGCTGAGAGGCTCGAAGAAGGGAAATCCTTCGCCGGAGGAGCGCAGACTGGTGACGCTGAACACGTTCGCGTCGAGCAAGGTCGGGCAAGGTCACGTTCATGGCGAGGCGCGAGTGAACGGCCAAGGACAGCCGAGCGACGCGTTCTCGAGTAAAAACGGATCGGACGAGAGGAAGCTGGGCTTGTCGATCGATCGCGTCTACGACGACGGAGTTTGCGCGGAGGAACGAATTTCGTTCCGATCGAAGAGCGATCCTCCCTCGAGGTTCGCCGAGGATCACTTCCGACCTACCGCGATGCTCGACTCCGACCTGAACAGGCTGAACGAGATGGAGAGTTACGCGGATTGCTCGGCGAGAAGAGGCGGCGGGAGAAGGAGCTTCGACGTGAGGAGGGACGACGCGAGGTTGAGGAGAATAATCGGCGATACCAAAGGCAGGCAACCGATCTACGCGGTGCCGAACGTACTGTCGAGGCCGAGGCGCGACCGTCGGGTGGCGATCGTCGACGGGAACTACGTTCCGAGCGGCGATCTTTACCGCACCACGGCCAAGTACATCGAAGACATCAACAAGAACATCGCGGAGATCGACAAGAGTTACGAGGAGCTCAAGTCGTCCTCCAACTCGAGGAACAACCCGTCGTCCACGTACGGGGTGATCAACAGGATCGCCAAGGGCGAGTCGATCGATCGGCCGGGCATCGATCTGTGCGGCTACGCGAGGAAGAGAGACATGGCGCCGATGCCCCCCATATCGTCCGACTTTGGCGAGAGTCTTCTCGAGGAGAAGACCGACGGAGTGAAAACGGACAGCTCGATTTTGATACTCAAGAGTAGTAGCGGCAGGCCGAACTCGTTCGGCAAACTTCCGCCCAAGTTACTCCCGAGGTCGTCATCGATCGAGAACACGTCGAGGCACTCGACGGGATCGACGACTACTACGTCCTCGACGAAATCCACCGAGTCGCTGTACGCAATCAGCGAGGTTGGAGGGCAGAGCGGAGAGAACGACGAGCTTGGGAAATCAGGAAGCGGGATCGTCCAGGACCGGTCGCTCGATTTCAAGCAGGATCGGAGGGCGAGCACCGAGGGATCGGACGAGCTCGAGTCCAAGGACGAGATGTCCTCCACCGACGACGACAGGCCGACGATCGTTCGGTCGGTGGATCGTCTGCCGGTCACCAGTTCGATTCGGAAGAATCGTTCGCGAGTCGACTCGGCAGACAGATCGTCGTACTTGAAGAGGGACCGAGTTTCAACGTGTCAAACGTCCAGGTGCGACAGCGTTCGTCGGTCGAACGATCTCGTCGCGAACGACAGAAATTTCTACAAATCGCCAACTTCGCTGGCGAAGTCAGTTCTCAATTATTCGGAGAGGAGGTGCGATACGTTGCCCACTCGAAGGTCGAGAGCCACCTCGAGACCTCTTCACAAATCCAGCGAAGACGTGCTCGACGGTGAACGACCGGCCCGCGCCAGATCGTCGTCCCTTCACAGACCTTGCACCAGCGACCTGGACCTGGTCGGCGAGCGACGAAACGACGAACGTCTCGATAACCGGAAGAACAATTTCGACAACTTCTTCAGACCGCCGCCCCTTTATTTGATGGACGCCACCGACGTTATACTGCGCGGACATCTGGACAGAACCAGCCGCGGTCTCCAGCAGTGGCAAGATCATCTCTCAGCGGCGAGATCGTCCACTCGTAGAACCAGACACAATTCCTTGGAATCGGAGGAGCCAGAGAACAAAGATAACGACGACAATCGCCACCGACACGGCGGTTTCGCCACTTTGCCTCGAAGGGGCAATCTAGCGAAAGATCAGCCCTCGAGCGACGATCCTCTCAGACGTTTGTCCGGCAACGCACCGATCCTCGAGCCGCTTTACGAGCACGCGGTCAGCGATCCGGTTAAGCCGAGGAGCGCCGAGAACGTCATTCCTTGGTGGGAACTAGCCACCAGGAAGTACAGGCATCGAAGTTGCCCGTCACTGCAGGTAACGCGAACAGAGAGAGATCTCTCTCTCTCTCTCTCTCTCTCTCTCTCTTTCTCTTTCTTTATCGTTTGTTATTGCGTTACGACGCGCCAAAGTTAATCGAAAAGTCTATCATGCGGATTGGTTTTCAAATCTTTCAATTTTTCAATTCTCGCAACTCGAATTTTGTTAACTTTTGTAGGATCTCGAAACTCTCGGAGCTCGAAGCGCTGATCTCATTCCGCGGGATGAGTTTCACTTGTTTCAGAAACGTGGCGATGATATGTTTGATTAATTAATTAATAGGTTCGAAGCAGATTTCTAGATTCACGCGATTTCTAGATTCGAGTCTTGTTAACTTTTGTAGGATCTCGAAACTCGCGGAGCTTGAAGCGCTGATCTCATTCCGCGAGAAGAACTCGAAACAGTCTTTTTTTTTATATAAATCCTTGTTGGTCACAGTTAAATGAAATACAAACAAAAATATTTAATCCAAATTCTCGTTCAAGAAGACAAACTAACATCCCAACTATTTCTCGATCTAATTTATTTTCCTTTTGAAGATTTATTATAGATACGTTACGCTATATGTGTATTAATTATAGATATATTAGATATATACACTATAGATATATTATTATTATTATTATAGATGGATTACTGAGTGAAAAATTGTTAGAGTGTACTGTTGATGTAACAAGACATCTTTTTCTTCTTTCATCATATCTTCAGATTTAGATATTTTACATCATCATCATCATGTTTACACAATCGATCTGCTCATATACTTGAAAACAAAAACCAAACGCGCGAGACATTCTTTTTCACGCGAATGATTTCCCATTCATTTTTACCATTTTACCATTTTATCTATTATTTATTCATTTTACACTTCTTCTTGAATCACCAAAAAAAGTACACAAAGTTTCAAGTAACACACATCACGTTAGACTCGGTCAGATTATATATATATATATATATTTTTTTTTTTTTTTCTTGTCACTCGGAAATTTTTCGTGCTAGAAGGGAGTTTTGGGGCCACGAGTGATCAGAAGGAAAATGAAATGAATAAATTCGAACGCGGGTACTCTCGGTCGTCAGGGCGACCTACGTGATTTATTTCGCTGCCTTATGTCACTGGTTAAACAGCTGCGGGTAGGTGGAGGTATACTCGAATAATAAATTCGATAATAAGACGTCACGGGTGGAGAGCCGTCAAACGAAATTAAACCCCGTGCGCATACCATCGAACCATTAGAAAGACTATGTGTAACAAAGCGTAGGTCGACAATGCCACTCGTGGTTCCCGATTGAATAATTACGTCCCCGAGCCTCTTCAAACTCGATCCTGCCAATCTCTCGTTTCTCTCGCGCTCTATAAAACTACGCTCTTTGTCTCGAAATCATGGTGCAGAAAAATGGCCAAAAATTCTCGATTACAAATTTGTGAGCAAAAAAGATTGATAAATAATTCTACGTCGAACGATCCGACTGTTCCCTTATCTTTCTAAGATAAAAACTCACGAAACTCACTGTAGATACAGTTTTCTTTTCTCTGGTGCAGAAACGACTAGTTTCTAGCATTGTAAACTTCGTCTCGATGTTGGACAGAACGACGTTAACCCTTTGCGCTGCTCTGTCGAGTCACACTCGATATTTTTAAATTACCAAAGAAAAGAAGTAATTGAAAAATCGTTTGGAACGCGAAGGGTTAATTGTTAAAACGTAGACGTGTTTGAGAGCAAGGAGATTGAATAAGATGTTAAAATTGGTGTTAAAATTCCGAGGGAAATAGTGAAACATTTGTTAACTATTGTATAAAAAAAGAAGTGTTGGTAGTCGAAATTCGAGTCACGGTGTTCCCGTTAAAACGTGACATTTGTTTGGAGAGCACCACATGGTTGTTCGTCCTCGAAATTATTCGGTGGGCATTCTCTCGACCAACCTGGAGGCAGTAAATCGATGCCTCGCATAGCTTTGGCCTTACTCG